TTTGCTAGCTTTGAAGGCAGAAGATCGCTGAAGTAAATGAGGCCCTCTCCTGGAAACTTGTACCTGACCGTTACCCGCCAGGTGCCCAGTCGCCTCCACCCTTTTAGCTTTAGGGGGCGCGACACTTGCTGCATTGTTTGTGAAACTTCCAGAAATCCTTGGAAAGATGTCTGTTTCTGAGAAGAATGTGCAGGCTTTCTGGGAGCCCTTTGATCTCTTTCAGGGTACCATGACGACGACGACTTCTTCGCAGAGTCAACCTGTGTCGCTGCCTGTGGGGCACACCAAGAACCCCCTGGCGATGTATTAAAGTTTTGACAGCTCTGGAACAACAGCTTCTCAGTCTAGCTTTGCACTCTAGGACCCCAGTGGAGAACCGGGTGGGGGTGGATTCCATGTCTTCCCCAGGGGTCTCTAGCAGAGGCGGGCCCAGTGAATTGAGTTGTTACATACTGTAGTTATTAAGGAGGACTTCCTTGGTGCCTGAACAGCCTTCAGCATCTGACCCTAGCCACTGTGCAAGTCATCTGGGACCGGGGGAAAGAGCACCTATGTTCCTAGTGAAGCGTTTCTGAAAATGTGTGTAATTTGGGCTGTTTCAGTACATGTTGAAGTTGTTAGCAATAACCACATTTTTACGTGACTTGTTACTACTAGCAAAATTGGTTTGCAAACTGTTTTTATTCTTATGATGATGCTGAGCAACTCTGTCTAACAAATTTTAGTTTTCCTTGGAAACTGCAAAGTAGTCCCAGAATATTTTAGAGGGAACTGATATTGAAGCCAAAAGAAAAGTTGCAGCAATACATTTGCTTGTTACAATTTCTTTTCTGTAAAGCTTTATTTTTGGTGGTCTAAATAAAAACATTTCCTGACCTTGAGATTTTACAGCTTTACTTTGTTGTGCAATGTATGGTTCCTATTCTCTAAAATGTTCTTTTTGTTGTTCTAAATAAAGCAGAGCCCCCCCCCCCCCAAAAAAAAACCCAGGGTTTTCTATCAGAATACATGTTTTAACACTGTTTAGCTTTTGAGATCAACTCAAGCACAGATTAAATAATATTAATTTGACTGAGAAAAATAGTCATTCACTTTTTTTTATTATCAAGTGTAATAGTACTATTTCCATGTTGATTTTTCATGTTAATTTAAATAAATACGGAAATACACCTTTTCTATCTCTTTTGGTTGAGTTTAATACTCACAGATGAGCAAAAGGACACTTGACAATGTTCAACCATCAAAACTTATTTTACACATTTTATGTTTTAAGAAAGGTAAAGACTACAGAATCTTCTATAAAGATTTCCTATTGGTTCAAAAAGGAAGTGATGCATTTTGAGTTTTTAAAAGTATAATTTTCAAAACTGTGAAATGTATAAATCTCCTACAAATATATAGTAGATAAGTATCAAAGATTGACTTTATTAATGAGGGACCCAGCAGAAATATACAGCTGGTCTAAAAGAGGATAGGAAACACTACCATCTATAATTACTAAATTTAAAAAAGAATACTGAAATAAAATTAAGTTTGATTAAAAAAAAAATGGTGATGTCCTATAGGGCAATCAAACCATAAGCTTTTGAGTCATCTTTCTATTAGACAAAAATCATTTGTATCATCCCTCAACAAAAAATAATTGGCGCCCTGGCCAGTTTGGCTCAGCGGTTGAGTGTTGGCCTGTGGACCAGAGAGTTCTGGGTTCGGTTCCCACTAGGGGCACATACCACACACACAAAAAATAAATAAATAATTGGCAACTCACTCTTTTATTTTTCAATTTAACATCTAATTTTTCAGAGTATGGACCTCACCAGTAACAAAGTAAGTTTTAAAAAATGCCTTCTTGCCTGGCCAGTGTGGCTCAGTGGACTGAGCATCCTCCAATGGACTGAAAGGTCCTGGTTTCATTCCCAGGCAGGGCACAGACTGAATTTTGAGCTCGGTCCCCAGCAGGGAGCGTGCAGGAGGTAGCAGAGTGATGTAGCTCTCTCACATGGGTATTCCTCTCTCTCTCTCCCTTCCAATCTCTCTAAAAAAATCAATTTAAAAAATAATAATAATAAAAAAAAAGCCTTCTTTCAGAGAAGTGAAGAGTATTAGGGAGGAACTAGTCACACAATGCTCCAGGATCTCGTTGAAAAGACATGCAGTCATTAGTTTGCCGTATTTTTAAGTTGAGATTATTTATTATACTACTCTGTTCCTATCTTTCCTGCTTTAAAAAAATGGTACTTTGTCTAACACTTTGTGTCAACTCCTTGTATGCAATATTTTATTTTGTTCCCAAATGAATATTAATAAACATAAGCCTCTTTATGAAACTCTGATTATTTCCTTGGAAAAAAGTCTTATGAGGATAAACTTGGATACGGAGTTTAAATATGTTGAAGGTTATTGATGTACATAGCCAATGCATGTCTATTAAGGATTTGTCGATCTGTACTACTCATGTAGAGTAGTGTACTCTGACCATCATACTGACAAAGTTGAGCATCATCATTTTAAAAGTCAGGCAATTTGATAGATACAAAATGAAATCTCATTTCAATTTACCTATACAATATCTAATTACTAGTAAAGTTGATTTTTTAAAAACATGTTTTTAAAATTTTTAAATTGTTATTTTTCTACTTATATATTAGTGCCCCTGTTGTGAATCCTTTAGCTGTTAATATCTGAGGTACATTAACCCTGTGCTTCAATTCTTTTATATCAAAGAGCTTGTCATGAACAGTATTAATAGAGTATTTTATGTGAGGAATAACAACATCATAAATGAGACTTATGTGTGCTAACCTGAAACTCAACGTAAGATTATAGTAATAAAGATGTAATGTTGTTTCCTTTTGTTCCATTAAAACCCCTTTATTGAAAAATGTTTTATATGAAAACTATATATACAAATAATCTTAATAAGGGTGGAGAACCGAAACTACAGGAAACAGGATATTTGTAAATGCAAAATTCTTTGCAAAATTGCACACATTATATTAATAACTAAACAGTATAGCTTTAGGGGATTAAGTTTAGAACAATTTAGAATAACTGGGTTATCTTTCGTAATAGTTTAAATCATTTTTTGTGATGTGATTTCAAAATAAAATTAAGAACTAAAACTTATGTATACCCAAGATTATGTTATTTATGTCACATGCAAAGTGTGTATGTGATTATATATATTTATATATGTTATACATATACATACATATATATGTACATGTAATATGTGTGTGTGTGTGTGTGTGTATGTGTATGATGTAGGAACCCCTCTGTTTCCTATGCCAATGCTGTGATAAGAAGCCCTCTGGTCCTTCAACAAATATATGTGTAAATATAAGCATGTAAAACAAAATATGTCATTACTACCTTTGGTGTTTTAAAGGTTTTCTTTGGTACTATTACCATAGATCATTTAAAACATGGGTAAGTTGTTTTAAATTATCCTACCTTCCAGGACTAGAAAAAGGTAATTGAATTAAAACATTGACTATTGTAATGTTTTCTAATTTGTAACAGTATACATATATATACACACACACACAAGCATATATGTATATATATGGCTTATATACAATAAGTACAATTATAAACAATAAATAACAAATTTTAAATATATAAATTACATATATGTATACATAGATATAGAAATGTACAATATAGAGGACTAGAGAAGAATTATGATATTGGAAAATTATTATTTTTTTTTAGCTCTGTAGAACCCTGAATAAATCAGTGCCTATAACAGAATAGTAACTTTTGAGATCACCTTTCGTTGTTGTTTGATATTGTTGGGAGTGGAGGTAGGGCTCCCAAAGAAAAGTTGACCAATTCCTGTTCTCAGAGACCCACTAGCCCGAAGTGTCATTCAGAGTGAACCCCCAGTCCTTTTACTTCTGTTCTCTGTCTCTCTTGGCAGCGGAAACCAACTATTAGAAGCGTTGCGTAGGGAGAAGGAGGGGCAGGAGGGAGAGGAATTAGGGGGGCGAAATCCTAGAAAAAATGTCCTGGGAAAACTCTGCAGGACATCGCCCCCTTACTGCGCTTCCCCATGGCATGGAGGCGCAGGGGAGCTCAGTGGGCGTGCACCGGCTGCCCGCACCCGCAAGCCCTCGTCCAGCTCTGCCCCGGCTGCCCGGTCGCGGGTTCGAGCTCGCGTGGGACCCGGTGAGTCCTGTTCACCCCTCGACCTCCACTGCACCCCTCGCGTTCCGTAAAGTCCTGCAGGCACGTACAGTCACTTTACTAGTTGAGTGAGGGGCGGGAACAAATACAGTTGGCTCTTCCTTCACACTCCCACGCCCCAAAGGCCCAGTAAATGCCCCAGATCGGGCAGGAGCCGGAGTAAATGCCTCAGAAGTCGGACCCCAAACCCCGATCGGTTCCTAGGCCAATGTTGTGATCAGAAGCCCTTTGGTCCTTGACCTTTTGGAAGATGAATTTGAAGAGTGTGGAGGAATGGAGTTGGGGGAAGCTCTTCGGGCCTTGAACTCGGGAACTAAGCTTCCCAGGCAGTCTGACCACCTGGAGTCGTCCGTCCCCAGCTTCGCTCCCCCTCCGCATATTTTATGCACTGACACCACGGGCAGGGGCTTTTTGAGTGGAATCTGGAAGCAAAAAGTTCTGGGCCTTCACTCCAGTTTGCCACGATCAGATTATTTTCACAGACTGGAGCTGCTGGGAGGTAGGTTCCTTTGAATCCTTTTATGAATGTTTAGTTCACCTTGTGTGGTTGGGTGTGGAAAGAAGGTCGGGGGTTTTCCAAATCGAGTGAAATTCCCATTCCATGGGTGTTAACATGCCCGTGGGGTTGGCAGTTCTTAAAGTTTAGCAAGTCTGCAAGTGAGTACAGAACACAATAGAGTCTCCCTCCCTTCCTCTCTCTCTTTTTTTTTTTTTCTTTTCCTGCTTCCAAATGCTTTCTTCGAGGCTGAAGCTGGGCAGGTCTCCAAAGGTGCAGCAGCCACAACAACCCCGCAGTTCAAAGTTAAGCAGCAAGTTGCACAACTTCAGTAACCCTCTCTGCCTGCTGCTAATGAGCTGAAGCCAGGAACCTCCGAGGAGGTGAGGAGGAAGCTTCCAGTCCTCCCCTCCCGGGAGGGATCCAGACACCCCCTACCCGCCCTCAGATAACTGCGAGATAAGGTCCTCGCTGTGCAGTTGCCCCTGGCGACCATGGCTCCCTTCGGAAGAAACTTGCTGAAGACTCGGCATAAAAACAGGTAAAGTCCAGCGCGTGTGTGCTCGGGAGTTTGTGTGAAAGTATGTCTTTTACTGCGGTTTGATACTGGTGAAAATTGTTCTTTGGGGACAAAGGGAGTTAGATCTTGTATTTTTATACTTAACCGGTGAGGATATTGTTCTAGTAACAATGGCTGCAGTGACCAGGGCAGGGATCGCTGAAAATAATTACTATTTTAACTCATTTTTCCCCCTTAGTCCAGTCATTGTACCACAACTAACATCACCCAAATCTCTCTTTGTGCTGCCTTACGTGTTTGAGAGCCGTGGGCTGGCACGTTTCATTGTGCTTCAGACAGAATTTTGGTGTGTTATCGGAAGAGTTAAAATGTTGGTGGAGATCTGTAAGTAAAATCGATTACCCACTAATTAGAAAGAAAAACACTGCTGCTGATACAATCCTGCAACAATGCTTTGGCTCCCCTTGGTGTAGAGCAATCTTGAAACTTGGAAAGTTCCTAAAGTGAAAATACTCTGTAGAGAAACTTTTCATGAAAGGATCCTTTCGAAAATCTTTGAGAACTCAAGGTGGTTTTAGGCACCAAAAGGAGGATTCAAAGAGCTGTCCTCCTTAATCCTTATTATCATATTTTACTTTGATTTGATTTCCTTTGCTCTTTCAAGCCTGCAATGCCCATAGTATAAATAAATATATTTTTCTTCTTTCTCTCTCTTACAGATAGATATTATTTTGAGCCATGATGTGTGTTTCAGTCCTATTAAATATTTTATTAGCACTTCTAATATTACATGTCTATGCCAAAAATGTGAGGATAATTTTATACCTCTGCTTTACTTTTTAATATATTTATTTTGGCAGAAAGTCTTTTCCACAACTCTTCTCTCAATCATGCCTGTTTGTACTTGTAATTCATTTAGTGTAAATTTAAAAGCATTCAATTAGATGGTAGGAAATGATACAATTATTTTAAAGTGTTTCCATAACAATATAGAGTGATACAACTTTGAAGAAAATGGCCACAGTTTAATTTGTGCATGAATGTCTACTTGAAAGATTCTGTTTTTAACTCAGTCCAAATGTACTGTATTCATGATTTAGTTTACTAAGTTTGCTTAAGAAACTAAAACAGCAATCATTTATACTATAAAATTTTCTAAACCAGTTTTCCTTCTATTAACGTGATATACCACAAAGATGGTATTTCTAATAATTGATAAAAATATATGTTCAAATAAAGATATGTGTTTGCGTATCATTAAAAATATGTTAGTGATGGTTATCAAAAATAGGTTTGTATCTTAGTACATTACAAATATTCCAGAATACTTCCCTTTTCAAAAGAAAATCTTTACTACTTTTTAAATGAGTATGTTTTTCTAAATGCTGTCAACCATATATAAAAATTTCTTTGGGAGTGTTCGTGGTTTTATAAGATAAATTATATTTCCAGCATACTGATCTTTTTGAATACTTCCTGGGTAGTTTAGGATTGTTGCGGGAACGCGCGAGTGTTTGTCTTTTGCTTTTTTATTATAAATTCAAGAACTCTGTCATCGGTATGCCAAATAACAGAGCAGTACGCCTCAGCGTGCGCCCCTGTGAGTCCCCTTGGGGGAGTACATGTCCACGTTCATCACCTCAAATGTGCAGCTGCACCATCTACTCTGCCCACAAAACTAGTTTTCGTTCAAAGAGGTAAGTATAGAAACATTGTTTAGTAGGACATTTTCTATGAAAAAGTATCAGAATGTGCAGTAAGGAAAGAACAATATAAAGTGAGAAGTTTCATAGCATTCAATTTTCTGAGAAAATGTGTTCCCAAAGGTGATGCTTTATTGCTTTATTATGGACATGATTTGGCCAAGATGGTAACAGTGAGGACGCAAGTTCCTCTTATAATTGAGAGCGTCTGTTTACAGATTTGTGTTTTTCTAACCCTTAAGAAACATTTAAGCCACAGTGGTAGTTGAGTAGGTAAGAATATGTATGGGTATTTCAAACTAAGTAGTAAATAAGCGATGTAGTGTATTGAAATAGAATTAATGCATATTTACTTTTTCAGTGTTTAGTATTGCTATTGAAGAGGTTTTCTTCTGTTTTATTTTTCCACCTTCTAAAAGGTGAAACCACATGTGAAACTTAGTGACCTAATTAAGTTTATCCATTTCTTTTACCAGGATCTATAATGATTTAAATAATCCTACTAGTACATAGTACATAGAGAAACCAAATATCTTTCCTTAAATGAAAAGTTTCTATCCTTTCGTAGAAAATGTGATTGATGATAAAACAGTCAACTGATAACAGTAAATTCATTCCTTAACACTATAAAATTCCCTGTAGAATGTAAAGGAAGAATTAGGGTCATATATTTATATACTTCATGATATATAATTTATACAACTAAAAGAACCACATGAACATAATTGTATCTTTGTAGGCAGGGGAAAAGGGCAGATTACTAGAAGGAATATTGGGAATGTGCGATCATACTATTTTGAGAAAGTTTGTATATTAAACCTTTCTGCAACCTAGTCTGTTTTGTTTTTTTTTTTTCATTTTTGTTCACTCTTAGAGTGATATTTAATTATCCAAGATTGAACTTCCTAAGATAGTTCTGTAAATATTTTCATAATACATAAATAGTTAAGAGTATTAGATACCAATGGAACACAAATGAAACTTCAAAGTATGAGGCATAAAAACTTTTAAAAGACACAAACTGTAATCTTGGAGGGACAGGGCCGTATATGTCTAGTGAACATTGTCTTCTCACGACCACAGCAGTGCCTGCCATGTGATAGACCTGTAATAGAGTTGTCTATAATTCTGTAAACGAAAATTATAATCTGTACTCAAACTAAAACATACTAATTATTTTATTCTCTGTTCATCATCTGATGCAGCTGGTTTTATAAAAAAGGGAATATTTTATAAGGAATTGGATGGTGTATGATATCATTAAAATCCCAGGGAGATAGACAAATAATTATATGGATTTGGACACCAAGTTAATCCTACCCTGCCAGATCATGTTTTCTAAATTTTAAAAAGTATTTAATTCAAAAATTTGGGACACAAGCTTCAGGATTTTTGAGAATAATGTATGGTCATGAAAATGATTATATTTTGGCATGCAAACTTTTTATGCTTTTCATTTCTAAGGTTCATACAATAAAAGAAATGGAGCCAATCTAAAATTCTTCATGTTTACAATCAGAATTAATCTTTTACATTTTTCTAACTATAGTAGTATTTAATAAGAAGAGTAGTTTTCAGGAGAGCTTTTAACCTCAGAAGATGGATTGTGAACTTTGGTTCCAGAATAGGATATTCTGTGACTGAATCCTAAAGACTGATGAAGATTCTCAAAATGTTTTCTAAAAGTCTCTAGATAGATATTGTTTCTCATATAAAAACCAAAGTAGTAAATAATGAAACCTAACTTCACTGGTATCTATATGGATGTTCAAATGGATTTCATTTATTAACATATTCAGATATTCACATAGGTTCCATTTGTGATCCTGATCATCTTTACATAAAATTCTATTTTCGGGATAGTGACTATTTTAAAAACTAATAGTAATAGCAACCAGCAACTTTTTTAAAAGTTCAGAGAAATAGAACATCACTATCAAGCTTTTAGGGATACTTGGTTGAGAGTTATGACTCCTTGGGGTTTTAATTAATAAAATCTGAGGTCAGAGAATTGGTTGGACTTTTTACCAAACCTTGCTAGAAGCAGAAATTTGTCATAGTAAAGCAGCATCCCATATATTTGTTGGAAATTTAAAATAGAATATTTAGAGGATCTGTAAAAGAAAATTAACAGTGATTATGAAAGGATCTAATCTGGTTAGTATGGCCTTTATAATTATTGTTAAGTAATATTTAGTCCACTCTTGACTTTTCTTTAGTTTTTCCTATACCTATGGATGTATGTCTATCACAGGTGATAAGAAACATTGTCATAATCTCAACTTGAAATTAAAAGTCTCCAAAAAATGTAGTTGTAATAAGTATATTAGAAATAAAATTACAGCTCTATTGTTTGTACTTGATACATAAAATTTGCATTAACGTTTGCTTTTGAATCAACTAGAGCATATCTGGCCAAGCTTTTAAAACCAGGTGCTTTATATAGCTCCCATGAGTATATCATTCCATGAATGCTTCATCAGAAGGAAGAATTAAGTTTTGTGGTTAGGAGAATTAAATTTTGCGGGCAAGGTGGATATTTTCCCTTTGTAATGAGAAGCATGGCAATTTATGGATTCTGCAGGATGGGAAATTATGATGTCATGTTTTGTCTGACTTTCAATAAATATTTAAAACGTTCCCAAAACTGGATTGAGAAATGTCAGACATTTGAGTATGAGCATCTTCTTGGTTCCCAGGAGTTCCTGAAAGAGATTTCCCTTAAGGATACCTGGTAACTTAAGTAGTTACTAGTTGGCAGCAAACAGCCCATGAGGAACAATGAATGGAATGCTGTATCCTGGCAAAAATCTCCTGAGAACAGTAGCAGTGGTGAAATTGAGCTCTAGGTTAAAACTCGAATTGTTACTCAAACCACTATATAAGCCAACTTCAAATCTACTACATAAGATGTGTTACTCAGCCCTCTACTAATTACTGAAATGATAAGGTATAAAGTTCTTATATGGATGTTTTTGAAACAAAAAGTTTTAAAAAGTTTGTAGCTGGTTAAAAATTTTATTTACATAATGTCTTTACTAGCTTGACCATGTAATTTAAAGTTTGGATTGGTAGGCAGTTCTAGGAGATTTGATAGTAGCTTTAAGTAAATCATTAAAACGTGGCTTGCTTTTTATTTTAGTTATGAAGGGGGAAGGAAGTTGAAGTGAGGGTATTAGTTTACCTCTTTCAGGTGCATGTGGATACCAGTTCTTGGAAAGAAATCTCTTTGTCTCTAGCATATTAGTTTTCTAAAGCGATGCAACATATCTGCATCCTGTACACATGAAAGGCGAAAGTTCAGTGCACATCTGTGTT